TGAAGTGTAGGGTTTAGGGTTTTGACTGGGCTTTGCTCTTTCGGCTTTTCTTCCTTGCGCGTTTTCGGCTTAGGGGTGTAGAGCGTCAGCGGTTCGGGCTTATTTAGAGGTTGAGGCATAGCTGCAAGTTTGGGGCCTGGCAGAGAGTTCTTGCTTCTGGGCTGGCTGACCATCCAAGTCTAAATCCCTAAACCCTCAAAACCCCCATCTAAACATATAGCGGATAAAGTTCTAAAACCCCGCCTGCTGCTGCTTCCGCTTCTCCTCCGCCTCTTCATTTCGCACCCGGCGCGCCGTGGCCACCGCCGAGATCTCCTTTGACGTTTCTTTCGCGGAGCTACGCCTTGGTGGAGTAAGGGTTCCTGGAACGGCTACTCTGGGCGTTGGGTTTAGGGTTTTGGGGTTTTGGGTTTTGGGGTTTAGGGTTTACTGTTTTAGTAATTTAGGGTTTAGGGCCGTTTAGGGTTTAGGGTTTTGGGTTTAGGGCTACTCTACTTGGAGGGTCGGGGGACTTAGCAAGAGGGCAGTAAATACACTTATAAGTACCGTAAGAGGGATCCTAATTGGGGCTATGATACTTATAACTCTATAAAATGACTATTTACTAAGACCCCCGACCCTCCAAGTACTGTAGGGGTTGCTGTACAGACAGGGACGCTGTCATAACCTGCGTTTTTCGCGCTTGGTAGTACGCATCGGACCGAGTGTTGGTCTATCTTAGAAGGTATAGAAGGTCTCCACCACGAGGTACACTTCAGAGTCTGTTTTGGGATTCGGCGACTGGTATCATCTCTGCTTCCCGGCTGCTGGAAATCGATGCCGACATGTGCGAGAGAGAAACCAGACCAAAGAAAGGAAGCACGACCCCAGGGACTGGCAAACCGCATGCACCATGCCTTCAAAAGTTCTAGACTCAAGACTCCAGGCTCCAGTAGACGGTCCTTCATCTTGCCAGCCACCTTCACAGACTCCTCGTACGTGGCATCATCATAGTCTATCTTCAAGCCCTCCTGCTGGCCGCCAACGACGAGTCAGGCTCTGAAAGCAGGGGCAGTGGGGCTAGTAGCCGTACATTTTGTCGCACTCTCGAGTTCCTTAGCCCCTACACCTTCATCCCCATTTGCTGAACCCTGCACCCCAAACCACTGAAAGCTCCTGGAAGTCTGCGTGGGCATCCTTCCACAGCTTGAGCTTCACGAGCGCACGTGCACGCGTCTTGAAGGCCTGCTTGCAGGGCTGTGGCAGAACAGCATTTCGGGACGAAGGCTTACAGAACATGCTGATGTACCTGCGAGCCACTTACACCCATATTTAGGCGACTCGAACTTAAATTGCTTGGCTTCTCACGCAACTAAGGGAACTGTGAGAATGCACACGTGCAGAGATGCCAGGGACTCCAATGCGCTGCTTCGTGCACATCTGCTTGCACAAGAAATGCTATGTTTGTGTCCTACATGCATAGGTACATAAATACAGACGTACATACCTTCGAACATACGCATGGCAAAGCTGCTGGCATGACTGTACTTTCGAAGGAAACTCTACTAGCAAAGCCCTACACCAGGAAATGCAAACCTACAAACCATCACGACCACAAAACCGTGGATGAGGAGTCGTGCGCGATGTACACCCTCATGTGGGTTAGCACCACGCATGCTGGTCGAGAATGGAGAAAAATGCCCCGCATCCGAACCACTGTAAGTGTGCACATCACTCGAACATCCGCATTGCGCGCATGGGGACCGGCTCTCCATCAAGTTGCATGGTGGCTACAGGCAGGTTCTTGAAGCACCACTCATGAATCTGTCCATCACCAGACTTAAAGCGGCACGTGTTACATCAGATCCTCCTAGGAGAACTAGCCTTGGATCTCCAAGTGAAACCATTTAACCAAACTGTTGCAGGGAGGAAACGACGCGTAGAGCGCACGGACCGCAGAAAGACGACCCGGCTCTCAAAGAATCGCACCTTCCCCGAGTCCGGGTTTAGTTGCAGCGCCGCCGAACAGTCACGGCGAGCGGCTCTTGGCCGACCCAAGCGCAGTAGGAGCTCTGCCCGCCTCTTCACGAACATCACTCGAATCATGAGTGTTCTGAACGGCGGTACGGCTGTTCTTTGCTATTAAGATCACAAGTCCTACTTGCACTTGCACCACTCCACCGCTGCAACCTACTCCTTGCGCAACTGCAGCTACTGCGACGAGGGCTTTTAAACCATAAACAAAGAGCAGCAGCAGATCATTGAGCAGCAGTAGCAGCAGAAGCAGTACTCGTCTTGCTCCTCCTCATCCTCGTCGCAAGTAGTACTGGTGGTAGTAGTAGTAGTAGTAGTAGTAGTAGTAGTAGTAGGAGTAGGAGTAGGAGTAGGAGTAGTAGTAGGAGAAGGAGTA